TATAGAGGTTTAGCTTCAACATGAGCTCCAGATTTTGAAAATCAGTCCTAGAAGAAAAATGGTAAAAAAAAAGATGATTTTCTTAAATCTCCCTGTAAATAGCAGGAATAGCTAAAATTTCAAAAACTATTTGAGATCTATATTGAATGCCTATCACGCTAAAATCTGAAAAAAGCTTTTTTCTTCAACGAGGATCTTGCTGAATATTTATAAATGTAGCATTGGTTTATTGCAACTTTTTCTCTCAAAATAAATGAAGAATCCAAATGTGATTTTCTTTCAAGACAAAAGCAGTGGCGTATGATTTTTTCTTTAAAAACATTCATTAACGTATTGGATAAAAAAATAATTGAACACTTAAAATAGAAATAAAATCGTTAACCGCAATCAAAATTTATCCAGTTTCAAAGTTAGAGCAAATTTGGCAAAACAGTTTAATTTTTGTTCTGGTATTATTTCTAGATATTTTAGTTATTGTTTTGGAGTGATGATATGATTATTCTTGGCGAGATATATTTAATTTGATGGATTAGTAAAGTTAGCTGGTTTTTTTGTGGCTTTTAGTATTAAGTTCCCCTTTTGATGTCGTTCTAACGTGGACGATCAGTGCAGTGTCGTCGGCGTATAGTAGTTTGTATTCAATTTGTATTGAATATTTTAAAAAATTAAAACTACTCGTTTATTCACTTCCCATTTACTCTTATTTATTTACAGTTACAGTGCTTGTAGTTGACAAGTAAATTACCTAGAAGAAAATTTTATTAGAGCACCGTACAAAAGTTAATTAATTTCATGTTACAAATGTTGAAACGCGGAGGACAGCCGAACTTCGTTTGCCTTTCCCATAAATAATCAACGATCCGTTTTATACGTTCACTAGGTATTTGTGTTCGACATGGAACACTAGCCAGTTAATAGACAAATAAAATTTTCATCACTGTTGTCAGGTTAACGACCCGTCTGATTGGCTCCATTGAATTTTTTGTACGTTTTTCCTGAAAACACCCAGAGTACTTGCACACGCAGTTTTTACTCCAAACAACTTTTTCCTTGAATCTATAAATAGGGGGGCACTTAAAAGCTCCAAGAGACGACAGCAAAAAATATCAGCCCAAATGGAATTCCTTATCGATATAATTTCATCTAACCTAATTAACTTATGCTTTATTAGTGCTCTTACACTTCATATTGTCTAATTAACTTAAACATCTTTCTAGCGCACTTTTTCAAATGGATTTTAATTCCTGGGGCATTTGATTAAGCATATCCATTATCTTAGGGAAGTTGAAAATGCAATTATCGTTTAGCGTATTGGGACTATTAGTAGGTGCTAAGTGCTGATGGTATTGATATTATCGTTGAATCAAATGAATGGTTCTTCAGATGAAATTTTTCACTAACTCCTATTAGGGTAGTTGAAATAGTGTAAAAAACATACAGATTGACTCCAATGAATGTCGAAATAGACGACGTGAAGTTGATTTAGAAGATGCAAGCACACATACGTCTCGATCAGGGAACAAAATTCACTAGACGATGCGGTAATCTAATAATCGCAATATTGGAAAAGCGATGGTGGTAATTCCTGGAAAAGTCCCTGTAAGTGCCTGTGGGTAATGTAGAGTGCCTCATCGATAAGTCCCACTTTGTACGTCAATCTCAGCCAAGCCGCAACACTTTCCAGTGTGACAAAGAAGCGTGTCACTGTGCCTTCGAACTTCCCGAGGGAATTATCTATCTTAAATTTTCGAAAATTGTTTACCCAGGAAAAGGGTTCGGTTTGATTCATATTTGCCGTTTGATGTGGCTTGGAACTAAGTAGTCTGATACAATTAGGACATCCTCATATCGGTAATTTCAGCTAAAAGTTCATTATTATCTACGAGAGGAATATCTCTGATATGGAAACAAACTTGAAGAAAAGAAATGATAAAGAAAGAGTAATACTAGCCCAAAAAAGTAAATGTAAATGGGCTTTTTCTGTGCAGCTCCTGAAGCAGATAAGGAATCATCTCAACTTTCAAATTATAGCTAAGTTATTAGGGTCTGATCTCTTTTGTGGAGATCCACTGCTGTTTTATTCTTAAACATTTGTTTGCCCATTCAATTTGGAAACTTTTTTGCCTTTCGTGTTGTTTATGTAACTCCTATTGTTTTTGAGTTACTTGATGATTCAATAAAACGACAAATAAACTGTATATATACAGTAGGATGCAGTGTTCTCAGCGAAAACTGCAGGAAACGATAGAGAATCGAAAAACTATATGAGTTCGCATTACAAACTGTACTCGGCAAACGCTTCGTTAAGGAAATAAGGCGTCTAAGTATGGTTTCAAAAATTATTTGTTAAAAAATTTAATTTACTAACACGTTAATAGAGTTATTCAATCAAAAAATTGATACGCCAATGCTTTTCATAAAATAACATATTGGATTCTTCGAGCTCTCTGGAAAAATCGGTGTATTCAATTGAAAAATAATTGATAATCATTTAATGAAATTATTGTTTAAAATGTTGTTCATTTAGTAGTGCAATTGAGACCGTCTAACTAATGAATTTTGGACAATTTCTATAGGTCTGGTTGTTGAGGAACATCACAGATAGATATTGTGATTTTATGCCATTTTATTATAATTTTTTTTATTTTTTACTTGAAAACGTTGAGTTCAGATAAATTGAAAGGCAACTTTTTCTCAAAATACATAAAGAATCCAAATGTGATTTTTAACATAATCATTTTTTATTCAAAAACATCGATTAACGTGTTAGTCCAGCGCCACGGACAAAACAAAAAAAAATAGTTTTCTTGCAAAATATGCTCTCTCGTTTGGAGTTCGAGCCTGTAAAAAATTCGTTTAAATATCGACAGGCGTCTGGCAACAATTAATAAATTTGATTTTTTCAATCCAAACTTAAACAACCTGTATTTCCTTAATAAAGCGTTTTTTCGAATATAGTTTATCGACTCATGATTTTGATTTCCTAATGTGCAATATTACAAGAAATGGCAAAAAGCAAACTAAAAACAGTTAAAATTAACATACATTTAAATAAAAGATTGCCTTAAAAATGTATTGCATATAAAATCCGTACGAGACTTAATAAAAATTGTGTATCTTGTAGAAGAAACATGTTTGTCTTACTTTTTGCCGGGTACCGGGTGTTTCAGAAATAAATCCACAACTTGGTGAGATAGAAGGTGTTTAATTTAGTGCTTTTGAGTTCTTTTTCCGTTGCAACTATTGCAATTTTTAAAACATTCATCATTTATAGTTACTCGTCTGTTTAATTTACAAAGTTTCTTGCATTTTCCTTCGTATCTGCGCCATTTTCGAGTTATTTGCCAAAGTATCAATTAATGCATGCCATGTGATTGTCCCAGGATTAGACGATAGTAGAATTTGTCGCTTACCAGTAATTACCAATAAAAGGCATTGCTAATCAATGTGCCCTTAGGTCATTTACTGCCCAAGAAAAGTTAGAAGCAGTTTAGTAAGAGCGAAAATTTTTCTTCCGTTAGGGCGACGATTTCAATCTCGAAAAAGCTGAGTTTTTGGTCATATTGTTATGAATCGGACATGCTAATTTTCATGTCCGCCTACCAACCCGAAAGTTTATCGGTCTATTTATGGAACAACCTGTACAGGATATGGTTCAGAAGGAATAATGAAAATCCAATAAATGGTGATCAGTCTATGAAGACCAGCAAATGAGCTGTGATTAAAACACTAGAGAAAAGCTATGTGGAATGAATGGTAAAATATGCGGTTAAAATATAGCGTAAACGAGTTTCTTAAACTTTTGAAATCTGTTTTACTTCCGCAGTTCGAAAATCTTCGAACCAACCAAAAATGGATCCATATATTGGTACGTTTTAATGGTTTCAATTAAATTTGTTCTCATATCGCAAATCGTGGGGCAGGAAAGAATTAATTAATTTTCACGAAATCTTATAGAAGTTTAGTAGAGCTTGCACCACTATCCGAATGGCGTATTTTTCTAATTAAAATTTTCCCGCATTTTCGTCATAATCGAATCGGCAAATCCGTTGCTAAATGGAGTCAAGAGCCGTGAGAAATGGCGGCTAAGTCAAGTGAAAAATTAGATCAATTATTCAGATTTAATTGTGTTACCTAGTAGTATGAACTGAACGGAGTCGAAGTCGTTCGTAGTTTTAATTTGAATGTCTGCAGATAAACATTCGTTAAAAGAGCTCGGCACTGTGAAAACGGTCTGAATACGGACTGGCAAAGGGGGAGAATGTGGAAGTTGCTGGAAAAGAGCCGAATTGTTCAAAATTCAATTAATTAGGAAGATATTCCGAAAATATTTAAAACCTGCTGGTCTAGACGGATTTTAAGCAGCTTAAGTAATTCAAAAGATGGTAAAGCACGCGACTGGAGGTTCGCCTTTTGAGCTTTAATCACGCAGTATTCGTATGGGATTCATAAAAATCAATCAACCCATGAAAATCTTTTGAAGTGAGTGGAGAAGCTCTGAGCGACGATTTTTGTTGGATTAATTCCTTCACATTTGGAAATACATAATAGTCACGCTTTAATCGCTTGTATTAAATTCGTAATACAGGATAGAAAATCCCCAATTTGCGTATTCTTTTTTGGAAGCCTTTTGCTTAATGATTAAGATGTTTATAAAAAAGGCCCCGCTAAAGCAAGACGTGTTCTGAGAATGAGAAGTAATCACCATAAGCCCGGGTAGCTCAGTTGGTAGAGCATTGGACTTTTAATCCAAGGGTCCAGGGTTCAAGTCCCTGCTCGGGCGTAACTTTTTTGTAACTTTTTTTGTCTTCATTATTTTCATAAATTAGCTTTAATTTAGTTAACTTGGAAGACATTTTAGTTCTTTTATAATTTTTACCTGATCAACCGTTTTCAAAGCTGTTTTGTTGCCAAAACCAATTTTAACTCATATTTTTATTCAGTTGTCTTAATTCTTCCGGTTTATAATAATTAATGCAGTAATTTATTTAAGTTGATTTCATATCAAAATAAACTCACCTCCAAGTTAGGTCCGTATAAGGCCACTTCATGCCGTGAATTGAGTATCTTTTCCGCCTGCCTGATGTAAGTCCGATTTCTTTGTCGGGTAAGCCGCATCTGAAAACATCGAAAAATGTTAAGTTTTTTGCCTCAAATCGTCACTTTTCTTTGAGAAGAAAGATTAAAGATCGAATTTCGATTCATCACCAGTTACATTTGTTAGATACAGTTACTCCATTTAACATGCACAATTAATTTCAAATTAAATCAAACACGGAACAATATTTTTTTGAAATAGAACCTTAAAATAAAAAAACATTTTTTTCGATTATGTATATTATTTTTCATACAAATCATCAAGTCAAAATTTCTAAAAAACGTCGATCAAATTGTGGAGTTCACAAGAATTTTTAAAATTAATACCTGGGCGTTTTCATCAGTTTCATCGTCCTGGCATCTAGCTTTCCAGTAACGGGAACTCCAGCAAATTCCTGCATCTCTTTGATAGCACTCCGTATCGATTCCTCTGTCCTCAAAGCAAACGCGCCATCTGCCGACTTGGGCATGTAGCCAAAATTCGTTAAATAGTCTTGCTGAAGCAACCAAGAAAACACTAATTAATACAAAACATCGACAATCAGACAGAATGGYGAATACGCTATTTTTTAAATTSAATTAATAGCGCATCCCCCAAATTCAATAATTTTTCGTGTGTAAAAAATACTTAGAGGCGAAATATTTCATCAATTTTTTGCTTTTAAATGTTTTGCCCTCGTCACCAATAAAACAAACGTATTCTGATAATTATTTATTTTTRATATTTTTTTGATACGAATAGTAGGAATATTGAATGTCCAACAAAGGCTATTGACATTATTTGTTCCATCGCGATCATGTTTTGATATTCCTAAGTTTTATTTTCTAAAGCATAGTCTGAATGCCGGTTTATGCTACTGCTAGACCGCCTAAAACTGTGTATTTTTTCCACTATAAACAGCTGAAAGGCGTTAAAGCGGTTCATCCTCTGATATTTGCTATACAATGATTATTAAACACTTCTACAGTAGTAAAAAACCATTTAGGTGGGGCGAATTGCTGGCAACAGGTTATTCATTATTAATTGGATTCCTAAAGGATGCATCAATCAAAATCAATTTTTCTCGGCAAGTCCTACTCCAATGCTCTATTGACTTGCACATTCTGAGCAAAAAGCAAGTAGGCCAAGATGAACTGATGATGACTAATAGTTCGAAATTCGTCATGAGATGTCTTCTGTTATTTGCATGGGAAGAGTGGAAAGTGCTTATTTATTTAGTGGCTTTTATTACATGTAAATGTAAATTATTAATCGATCCAGAACTTGAAATTTTACAAAAAAATTAATATTGCAAATGTTATAAAAGCAAAGCAGAACAGGCTTAAAATACATTTGAAATGCATTTGTTTATGCAACGAAACGAAAGCGGGAGACAGAAATCAGAATTTTTGCCAGCTACTTTCTGTTCTTCTGTTTTCGGCGGAACTTTGTATTCAAGTGGGTTCAAGTTTTTTTTTATCATTTTGTATGTCGACTTTTCTCTTAAATTATTAGTTTATGGATACAGAATATGTCATTGTTGAGCAAAAATTCTACACTTAATCGAAACAACCATTTTTGCTTATCTGTTTGTGAAAAATCAAAAGTACTTTTTCCAATTTCGGTTGTTGAACAGAATTTCGAATATAAAAAACAAGAATTGGATGTAAAAATCTTGACTCTTCTAAAAAGAGAGACAACTTATTGCAATATAATATTGCAAAAAAATCAATAAATCCCTAGGAGCCCAATGGCAAAGAAAAAAATCTTGTAGAAATAGCAATAGAAAATTAAATATTACTTCCAATTCCATTAACATCGCTAATGAACTAACATAATCACTACCTGCGCGAAGATAGGTATCTAAACTGTAATCAGACAGTCAATTAACGCATCAGTCCGCAGGAACAACAATAAGGCACAAAAACGCGTCTAATTAGAAGGAGAAGATGTTGAAGAAACCCAATTACCAAACTGTCAATGCAATTTTTTTTTTCGTCAACCAAACCGCTAATGGTTGTAACAATAACAAAACACAAAACGTGCGATGACAGCAGATGTCTCCGTTTAAAACGCTTTTGTTTGGAATCTGGCCATGCCAATGCACAGACAATTTCATATATTTTTAGATTCCGAATTGCATCATCATTACTGCAAGAACAGCAATGGTGGAGCGTTAAATAAGTGCGGGTTCACGTTCATTTAGTTGCCTTAAAATAACGGGGTTTAATCAGATGTTAATTAGGAGATAATAAGACAAAAGGAAAAATAGGCACAACATGTTCCTGATGAATGATAT